TTCATTATTGTTCGATTCCAGTTAATTCAAAATTATGTCAATAGACATTCTCCGGGCCACCTTTAGCGTGACTGGCGGTGCTCTAAACGGCGAGTCAAATCTTCAGATAGATTTGGCATCGAAATTGCACGTGGTAATCTGATTCGTCTATTACCCCTGATGAAATTTACAACGTAGAATATCAAGCATACAACGATGAACAGAGTGAAATAGTTTACTGAATAGTTATGAATGTCATGAATGTCGATTTTTTCCTTTAATTTAGATTGATTTTCGATGAATTTTAACTGATTTTGTAGTTTAGTCAAATTAGTTCTGGCAAATTCGATCAAATTCGTTGTTCCGTTTGAAATGAATGGCTCGTACGAAGTGAGATTGAATTGGAAATTCGGAATAATGAAATCATGTGGCGCGCGCTCTAAACTCTTTTGGGGCATTAATTCAAAATTATCACCCCGAAGTACGCAATTGTCGTTCAATTTTAGGGTTCCAGAGCCAATAGCGCTGTGGTGATTTACACTATCGCCGCAAATAGATATGAACTTTTCCACATGCTTACAGAAAAATAACCAATTGTTCGGCTCTTCGAGTTCTAACCATTGGTAACGCAAATTTACCTTGGATAACTCGCAATTCGAGTTGGCTTCATGATTAAAGAGAGACCACACACAAGATTTGAATTGGCTGGTTAGCCACTTGCGGGGCTCGAAGCAGATGACCATGTCATCTGACTGTTTTTTGCATTTCAGTTCATGCTTGTTTCTAATCAATTGATATTTTTGCCGATTTAATGACGCGATAATGACTTCGAATTTAGCATTTATTTTCAGAGTGTCGTCATTGTATACAAATGGCGTTTCATACATATGATACAATTGAAACCTTTCGTCGCTTATCAATGGAATGGCAATTCGAAAAAATAGTGTCTTATTTGTGACAAACGGAGTGATGGTTGCCAATTTGTAGAAATCGGTTCCATCCGGAGGTGCCTGTTGGTCTGATAAATATTCACTCATTATATTTAATTGACCCTTTACTTGAGCAGGAGTTATTAGATGATGATCGATATGATTTTTTCTAGCGCCAGTAAGTATGTCCAACATGCTATCTTGTTGATGCTCATAATCAGAGATCATTTGTAAAAGATACACAGACATAGTATGAAAATGCAAAACTGCTTGCTGGTCATTGGTTTGAACACGTACCAAACCTGCTAGATTTATTATGCTTTCTCTCTGATTTATGATTTCCCGCTCATCTTTTTTGATTATATTCATAGTGGAATTTAAAACAGAAGTGTGGTTTTACAAAAGAGTGAGCAAATGTTCGTTATTTGATTCCAATCTTGACATATCGAGAACGTATTCTCGTCCGAATCGAGAGTCTAAAACTCCAAATAAATCGCCAGCAATGTTTCCAACAATGTCAAGTAACGCTCTTTCTGCTCGATGATGCTTAAACGATACTATTAACTCATTTCGTTCATTGATGTCGTTGATACGATTTTCAATTAGTTGACAAAGAGATTTGCATGAGCTTTGCCCCGCCAGTTTTTGATTGCATACGTTTTCTAAATCATGTAAACTTCTTTCCATCATCGATGCTTCGTTGAGAAATGATTTCATGTTTACATAAACAATCGAGTTCCAATTGGTGTAACTGAACTTTGCATGCGAAATTTGTTCGAAAAACAAACCCGGCGAGGTGTCAAATTTATTCAATTTGAACGGAACGATTTGATTTGGGTGAGCATTCACTTGAATCACAAAAATTGCAAGCAATGCCGTTATTATCGGAATGACATTAAATGTTTGTTTTGCCGGTTTGGATTTTGTAACCCGTGCTTTACTCGCTGTTTCAGTTTTTGCAATGTGTGCTTTAATTGTTGCCCGGGTCTCCGCATCGTATTCAATCGGCAACGGAGCGATTTTGGTTATTGGTCGAGTGAAAGTGTTATTGCGCATTTTAAGTGTTACCACTCTCGTGAGTGCGTCATGACCCTTGTGCACGTCGATTACGCGCGCCATTGGCCAAGAGCATGGTGGTGAATTCTCATCTTTTACCAAAACTAATTCATTCAATTTTGGCTCTTCTTTTTTCGTAAACCATTTTGATTTGGTTTGCAATTCATTTAGATATTCCGTTTGAAAATTTTTCCAAATGTTTTGACTCATTTTTTGCACCAATTGCCAACGTGAAAGCCAGTTTACGTTCGATTCGATGTAGCTTTCGTCGGGTGGTGCCAGTAACGGTGCCCCAATCAAGAAATGTCCAGGTGTTAGGCAATCGATGTCATCAGGGTCAGTAGATAGTGCACAAAGTGGTCTTGAATTTGCACATTCTTCAAATGTTAGCGCAGTTTTTCCGATTGTTTTTATTAAATGAGTCTTTGCAACTTTCACACCAGCCTCGGCGAGGCCATTGAAATGAGGCGCACCATGCCAAGAAATGCCTTGCTTTGAAAGTTCATCGCAGATTGTTTTGAACTCTTCTTTTTCGATTTCAAATAAATCACTTAGATCTTTATTAGCTTTTACAAAGTTTGTGCCATTGTCACTGTTGAAGCTCTTGATCATTCCACGACGCGCTACCAATCTGCGAACGGCAGCTATGAACGCGTCGGCTGTTAAATCTGATACTAGTTCGATATGAAGTGCCTTTGTAGCCATACAGACAAATATTGAAATGTAAGCCTTAGAAATTTTACCAGCCCTACCTTTTGCCGTTTTGTATGGATTTGCACCGGTGTAGTCTACTGCTACGTTGGTGAATGGCTTTTCAACAATGTTTACGCGATTGGCCGGCAAATCTGCCATTAATTGTGACATGGTTTTTTGTCTTTGTTTGAAGCAAGGAATGCAACGATGCAAAATTTTCTTTATTTCTGTTTGTGCATTCACAATCCAAAACTGCTGTTTGATGATTGCTTCAGTGGCTTTCGCTTCACCGTGCATGCATAATAAATGAAAATGACGAATTATTAAAGTTGTTACGCTATTGTTTTTTGGTATTAAGATTTGATGTTTTCGTCCAAACACCAAATCCGAATTTCGTAGTCTGCCACCTACGCGCAGAATGTTATTTTCATCTAAGAATGGGCTTAGTTTCAGAATGTTACTTGAAAAATTTACTGATCTTTTCTTCATTAATTCACTTATTTCGGCACCAAATGCCTCCCGTTGAATGATTTTTATTATTGCTGTTTCCGCTAAATTTAGCTCATCAGCCGAAATCGGAGACAATGCTTTGGGCCCCTGTTTTGCTTTGCATAACGATGCAAAACGAAAACAGTATGCGATTATTCGTTTCATTTTGTTGAACGACGAGACTTCAGGAAGAATTTGTTCGTTTGAAATTGGAGAGATTTCTACACTTAATGCGAGTGATTCAATTATTGGGTCAACGTTATTTAAATGACTTGCATTGTTTGCATAGTAATTGTTTTCACGCAAAAACTGTGGGCCATTCCACCACATTTCATGTCTCAGCAATTCCGATGGCAACATGCCGCGTGAAGCGCAGTCTGCTGCATTTTTGTCAGTGGTAACATGATACCAGTTTTTTGTTCCAATTGCCTTATCTATTGCACAAACACGGTGTGCGATAAACTTTTTGTATCGCTTCGGATTTCCTCGAATCCAATCGATGACTATTTTTGAATCGGACCAAAGAAAATTTTTGCTGAAATTTATGTTTGTTGCTTTTAAAACGCCTTTCGTCAATTTGGCAAGTAAATTTGCTGCACACAATTCCAATCTCGGTATTGTGAGTGCGTCTTTCGTTGTTTTCAGAGGAGCTACTTTATTTTTTGCGATTAATAATCGCACCGTGTTTTGCGTGACGTTTTTAATGTAAATCACAGCTGCGAATGCTGGTTCCGCTGCGTCACCGAAACCATGCAACTCCATGACATCCTCAGGATTGTAATTTATCCAACGTTCCACTCTGATGTCATTAATGAGATGCAATTCGCTTTTTATTTCCAACCATTTTTCAGCGATTTCTTTCGGTACAATTTCATCCCAATCGACGTTTTTCTCCCACAACTTTTGTACCAAAATTTTCGC